CTGGCGAGCTCCTTTACACTACAGTATCACTCCACGTCTATTCCCCAAGCAGCCTGGTACAAACTATGGAGTCGCCATGCAAGCACATTGTTGGCGAAGAAGAAGTATATACTACATCGATATGTGGGCCCATAGGGTTATGATAGATGTCCCTGAAAGGTTCCTTTCGAGGCTACCTTCGAAGGTTACGATGTGGCTTCCCTTACAGGCTACCGAAAGGGCTTCTTGGGTCTGATAATCCCAAAGGGTCCTATAAGTACTGTTATGGGGGATACTTCCCCAAATCACAACGATAATTCCGAATATAGAAACCCTAACTTCTACTATATCGGTACTTTGGACCCTTTGGAATTTGTTAAGATTGAAGCAGTATGGGGTTTTAGGCGAGCCGGTTGGGGATTGGGATTAAGGCTTTGGGGTTGGCGTTTCTCGAGTTCAGGATTCGCTCTTTGATTTCAAGCACCCCTAGGCTCACGGGACTTAGTGGCGTAGCAAGCGGGACCCAGGTTCAAGTCAGGCCACAAGCCGGATATTGTAACTTCCTGATGCGATAGAAACGGCACATTCAAGTCATCTAATGTCCTCCATTCCGGACATAAGCTTGGTTTCCCAGTAGACTACTAGAAATAAGGGTGCCCTTACTCCTACTGTTTGGTGTTAATAAGGGGACACAAAAAAGAAAAGGGCAAAAGGGTCCGGAAACTTAGTAAAAAAGGCAACAGCCAGTACTTGCATTGTACGGGCCAGTGAGTGCTTAGAGTTTGAAACTACAACTCCAGAGGCTCCTGGCGGCTTGATCGAAGCACTCTGTCTGTTTACACTGGAGAGACCCAAGGGGCCCTAGGTACTGTTATGGCGGAAACTTTTCCGAAATCAAAATAACGATAACTATTAATATTAAATAGAAGCCCATAGTATGAAACCCGAAATTCTGCTATACAGGTACTTAGGACCCTTTGGGAAAGTGTTGGGAGCTCTGAGAATATCAGAAAAGCTGCCGTCCGGACGTAAGCATGTAGCCCAAAGCCGCGAATCCTCCAACCCCAAACGCTCCATGCCAGAATCTCCGAAATTGCCTCCGCAAGCCCTAGACACAAACCCTAAACATCCCTGAACCCTGGAGCCTCCGGAACATAACGTGGCACGAAACTTTGCAGCATCTGGTCCAAAGATGGCCAAGCGCAGATCTCCAACCTTTCGATGAAAGCGCACTCTGGCACTGTTGAGGGCTTAGGGCGTAGGATTCAGGGTTTTAGGGCTTAGGGCCGTTTCGGGAAAAGGATTTTTGGTTTTGAGGGCTTAATTAGGGGTCAGCGTTGTAGGGTTTAGGGTTTAGGGTCCAGGGTTTTAGGGTTTGGGGTTTAGGACTCAGGGTCTTGGAACCATGTCTTGATTAGTTTTGTAGTTGAAATCCAGGCTTCGCAATGTCATATCCGCAGCCCCAAAAGCAAGCTTGTTTTGCAGCTGCTGGTTGCGCAGAAGCGTCTTCTTTTGCTCTGGCGAGTAGCTGTGCTTAGGGCAGCCGAGGTGGTGAGGCCGGCGCGCACACACACGGACGTCGCTGACACTGTCTCTCCACAATCCTTGGGCACGTGCCTGTGCGGCGCAGCTGATGAAACTGGATGGCATTAGCGCGATCCGTTGGCCGCACAAAAGTGCATTTTCCTGCTATTTGGCTTTAATGAGGGAGTCGCCAAAAGTCCATGTTGCTTCATGAATTCCCCTGTCCTTACATTCTTTGCCTAGATTTTTGGAGACAGCCGCCTCCTCTGAATAGTCTGCAGAAACCTTTGTTCTTCAGCCCGTTCCTCGTTTGTGCAGCCAGACAATCTCATTTCCACTCTCAAACCTTCCAGCTCCCATTCCTGGACTCCTGACATAATTGTCATCACCCTCTCCAGCATCATTTTATGATTCGTATACCAGTGAGTTTTGGCTTCTGCTGCTGGTGCTTTTGGTGGCGTCACGCTGCCTTTCAAAGTGTGCACCCAATTGCCCATATAGATTTTCACAGCTTGCACTTCCAGGCCTTCTCTTCCCACAAGCTGCAGTGACATAACCATCACCCAGCTTGCCAAATGCAGAATACCTGCTGGTTTTGCTCCCGTCCACCCAGTCTATATCTCTCAGGCTGCCATTGGGCCAGACCAGGGTAATATATCCATCCCTTTTGGCTTGGCACCCATAGTCAAGGATAGATTTCTGCTTCCAAGCATTGAGAGCTCCTCAGTCTCCAAGTTCAGACTTTATGGCTGCAAGTGCTAGAAGGAGCATCCTTTCCAAAAACGATTCAACATTCACTTTCATGCCATACCTGCAGCTACCAATGAGCCAGCCTCTACCATTCTTGGCACACAAGTGCTTGGCTGCAGCTTCTGGGGTATCTGGCTGCACCAAGATGGGCTGCCCAGATACACGTTGCAGCTTGGAGTGGTTGATAAGTGCATGGGCCGACTCCCTCAGTTGATCTTCATTGATTCATATTCTGCAGACATTTCATTGAACCGATTGCACTGGAGCCTCAGGGCAAACGGCGAAGCTGCACATAGCCCAAACCCTGGTGGGAAATCATCTTGCTCCCTGGGCCTGCCCATATGCCCACCAATCTCCCAATAGGGACACATGTGGAGAAACTTCCATACAGATGTAACCCACGTACCATTTTGAACACAGCTCTGTAGCAGACATGAAATGCTGCAGGGTTAGTGGTTCACCATGCTGCTGCCCATCTGTGCCTCTGGTTCTGAGCCTCCCCAGCCAAGGAGTTGACTCTTGTGGCTCTTACCTTGCTCCTTCGAATGCAGAAGCTTGCATACAAATTTTCATCCTACAAGCTTCAGCCTTACAGCACACAGCCCCACCTGGCACAGATCCTCCTGGTGCACTGGTACTTGATGGAGCTGGAGCTTCTCTGCTGCCACTTGGTACTTTTCCACCTGTTTGATGGCAGATTAAGTTTGAAATTTTGCCAAGAATACTTAGGTCGAAACCACACTGATCCTTTTACATATGGTTTAAGCCAGCCTGTGCATCACCAACTGGCTTTGGGCAATGAAACATAAGCCCATACCTCTACTGCCCAAGCTTGAGATCAAAAGAATGCTCTTCACTACTCAAGTTGGAGCTCTCCCATCAGCATCAGCTTAGCATTTCTGTGTTCAAGCCACCTGCATTTTGCAGGGGTGGTTTACTTAAGCCATCCTGGCCTGCAGGATGAACTTGCCCCACAAGTCTCTGCACTGCTGGTTCTGTAGGTGCTGCACTTTCATCTCTTGTGAAGATACCCTTTTGGTCTGTGATCCGCTTTCTTGCTGTTTCTTCTTTTCCTCAAGTTTCCTCTTCTTCAAGGCATTCTGTGCCCTGTCCTTTTTGCTGCCCTGTTTGCTCCTCTCTGTTCGAGGCCAACGCTGTCAGGGAGCCACCTCAGCTGCAAATCAGAATGATGTTGTTGTTTCAAAAGAATGGTAGCGAGGCTGTAATGTGGCTTGTGAATACAAACGCTGTAAATCTTGTGCTTAGGTGCTGCAGAAGCACACTCACAAGAGAGTGTTGAAAGGATCAATAGTGAAGCATTTCTTCTCTGTGCTTCTCCTGCTGCAGTGGTGCTGGTTTGGGGAGGCAGGGAAGAGATGCAGAAGTGACCTCAGCTGGGTGCCTGGCAACAGGAACCCAAGCGCTGAAAGGTTTATGCATGGCCCAGCCTCAGCATCTAAAGTTAACTATTGAGGCAATTGCCAAGATAGTTGCCAAGGAGCCCAATAACTTTGGCAGCCTTGGTCCTGCCAAAAGTTCACAAAATCATCTATTGTGCTGCAACTGACATTGATTTTCTTGCTCCAGCCTCCTCTGTCATGTCAGCCCAGCTCATGGTTAACAGGGACTGATGAGGCTAGGCCGGCTGTAAAACAGGCACACACGGGAACGCAAGCCCAGAGGGTCGGGAGCCGTGTAAAGGCCCCGTAATATGTCTTCCAGATGGAGCGCACCACAGACAGCTAGAGCGGGGTACCTCATCTCGAACGCCCGCTGAGAGTTGATAACGTCCCGCTGCCAGCTCATCCTCTCCCAGAGCTGCGTTCCGATTGCCTTGTTGATCCCCAGCTCCTGCTGCAGCCAGCCCAGGAACTGCGTTCCTTCGACCAGGAAGCCAGCCGCAGATGTGCAGGACGGATCTGCAGACATTCGCAGCCCGACGCCCTCCAGAGAGCCCGTACCCAGGCTCGAGTTTGGATGTGATGCTGCGAAAACGCAGACTGTCATTGGATGTCATTTCAATCTTTCAAGACTGCCTTCAAATCTTAAACCCTAAACTCTAAACCCCAAACCCTTCACCCCAAGTTTTATCCGAGACTTATACCCTCAACCCCTAGACCCTAAAGTATCAGGGCATTCATCCCGGACTCTAAACCTTTTTTTATTCCAAGCTCTCGCATCCTGAACCCGAAGCAAAGCACGAATCCTACACTTGCTTCTTCTGAACCCGACAACTTGATCTGTTGAGTTTCAAGCTTTCGGCTGGGGCACATCTTTAGTTGGTTAACTGTTCATGATATGTAGGGTTTTGGGGTAAGTGTTAATGATTTGAGGTTCCGGGAGCCCTGTTTACGGAGCTCGGAGTTCTGCAAAAATTACGGCAGACTGCTAGAATCTGACTGCGTTCACCTGGGGATAGCGTGAGAATTACGGTTTAGGGCTGAGGGCCTGGGGTTTAGGATGGCAGAGCAGTGCTGCACCAAGCGAACCTGGCATGCCGATTTTGGTCTACAGTAGACCGAGACTGGAGGCACAAGGAACCCCTATACCAGCAAAGCGCATTTAACTGCTCCAAAGACCTGCCCCAAAAAAACGAAAAACAAAAAAAAAATCTCTGTGCCAAATAGCACTCCAAAGCCTAAAACATCGACTGAAACTGAACCCTAAATCCCGAACCCAGAACCAATGACCCGAAACCCTCAGCCCTCGCCCGGAACCCAAAGCCGCTCCCACAAAGCGGATCTCGCCTGGGCCATTCTGTAACCCAGAGTGGATCCTGCACTCCGTGCACAAAAGAGGTGTGTGTGTGTGTAGATCTTCTGTCTGGACATGTATGCATATACTATATATACATATATAGATATACATACAATCAATGTGCATATACAACTATGTGTACATATATATATACATACATGCATACATACATACATAGACATATACTTTTTCGATGGGGAGATCTATGCAGAGAGTCAGATAGTGACAGAGACAGAGAGGCAGAGAGACAGAAGACAGACAAACAAACAGACAGACGGACGCACAAACCGAGAGACAGAAAGACAGACAGACAGACAGACAGACAGACAGACAAACAGACAGACAGACAGACATACAGACCGACAGACAGAGAGACAGGCAGAACGACGGACAGCCAGACCGACGGACAGACAGACAGACGGAAAGCACAGACAGACGAACGAATAGATTGAGAAATAGCTTACATTTTGCGTTTGCAATGTGGCTAAAGGTGTACCGCAACAGTAAGGAACGCTGTCCGAGGTTTCAAAGCCCATAAGCTAACAGGCATTGAAGAGGAACTAGGTAAATAGCCGACAGCGGGGACTTTCTGTGCTATGTCAGGCTTCCGTTAAGGACTCTGTATGGTTCAAAACCAGCTCCTGTTGATATCAAACGGCTAATCTAGGGGGCACCACAACTTCAAAGTTTCACTCTTGGGCTATATGAATTCCGGCAACATCTCCAACTCTGGAACTCTAAGTCTTCTGTAACCTGTTGCAGGTCCAGCCAAAGGATCAGGCGTTTTGGTGATTAATTGTAAAGTTTAGAGGTTCGGGTGTGTAGATCGTATGTAATTAGTCATTCAAACCACGGCTAGCGTTGAGGTTCAAGACGGCCTGCAACCAGGATAGAAAATCGATGCATGTCAGGACAGGATTCATTGTCTGCGACATTTGCGTATGCTGCAAGCTGGAGCTCAAACCGCATCAAACCAAAGCGTGTTCGTTGCAGCTTTTGCACACATGATCTGCAGTTTCCCGATTTCCAGTGCTACGCCATCTGGCAACAATCTCGGTTCGGTTAAGCAACCCTCCTCGCTTCGCGCGCGCTGAAGATGTAACAACCTACGATGCCGACGAATCAATCAAAGAGAATACCCTACACCCTACACCGCAAGCCCTACACCGTAAACCCTACACCATGAAACCTAAACTCTACACCCGACACCCTAAACCCGAGCCTTTTTCTCTCGGGACTCCAAATCAAAGCCTACCGAACCGGTTCCCCAAACGATCGCCTGAACCGGCGGTGCACCAGCCTTGGACGGTTTAGGGTTTGGAGTTTTGGCTTGTCTATTTGCCCAGTTACCTGTGCAGTGGGCTCTTTCCCTGACTCTAGACGCCATGTAAATCTTACTCCCTAAGGCTCCATGTACCCACATAGTTCCTTGTTCCTACAGTATATACTGTGTCCCGAAAGCACCGATATAGGAACCCCCTTTCAGGCCTAAGAATATACGATGCAGGCACATGGAGCCTGAGGGATTACAGCACAACCCAGCAACCTACTTTCTGTCTCACAGGGTTCCCTCTGGTGTACGACGTCTCGTCTGAAAACAAACAGCTGTAAGAGTTTAGGAAGCTAAAGCTTACAAGGTTCAGGGAATTTAGGGGTTGAGGATGTACAAATGAGCCTTGAGCTTTCGATGCCAAATCCAATCTCCACAGGTGGGGGGCTCTGCACAGAGGACTCGAAACCTTGCTCAAACCCGAAAAGTTCAGACCAAGCCTTCGGGAGCCGCAGCTTTCAGAACATTTAGTGTACGCACTTCCGTATTCTCAGGCCTATATTCTAGTGTTGGCAGAGCACATCGCGGGCTACCGGCACAAGAGATGGGAAACACTTTCATCATCGGAGCGAATTGAAGCACTGCCACACTCCGTGAGAAGGTGAGAGGGCCGATGTTTACTGTCTACCCATAGGCCCCTAAGTGGTTCCTTTTTGTGGTTCATATTCAGAACCCTTTAAGGTACTCCCGAAAAAGGAACTACTAAGGGGCCTATGGGTAGCTCAAGGACTCAGCTTCGAAATCCGGCATGTTTCGCAAAGCCGAATTCGTCCGCACTGGCGCCCAGAACCTTTAAACCCAGAGAGCCGTATCGGCAAACTTCGAACCCCAGCCTTGGCCTTGGACATTTTTTGTTGCAGCCTTAGCTCCTTCCGTCCTTTACCCAAACCACGTTGAAGGCTGGAAGCTTGCAGCCACGGATGAAGCAGGTCGGCACCGTGCCGCAACCGTTGCTTGACGAGCGAAGGCATATTCAAGCACGGTCCAGCCTGCCGGTTCAAGGTTTATTTATGGTTGGTTTCATTGTATGTATGTATGTATGTATGTATGTACGTATGTATGTATGTATGTATGTATGTATTTATGTATGTATGAATGGATGGATGGATGGATGGATGGATGGACGTATGGATGTGAGTATATAAATACATGTTTGCTTATTTATTTAACTGTATATGTATTTATGTAGCATAAACGTACGGAAATCTCATCCAACGAATCAGTAAATATCCATACACACCCATGTGTAAGCCTGCATGCGTGTTCTGTATGTGCGTATGTATGCAGGTATACATGCAATAAGCCCATGAATGTATGTGTATACTCTGCATCCACATACTACGCACGCACGCACAGACATAGTATTGATGTGTATATGTATGTATGTATGTATGTATGTATGTACGTATGTACGTATGTATGTATATTTACATACGTAATTACGTCGGTATGTATGCATGCATGTATGTCAGTATGTCCGTATTTTTGAAGAAGTGTACGCACGTGTGAATGAAGGTACATATGCATGTTCAAGCTCTGTGCATGCCAGGAGTTCACTCACTGGAATGCTCAGATTTTTGTGACTGTAGCGCAGTATCAGTATGTCGTGTTTGCGATACATACTACCTTGTTTCATATCACGGACATCGCCCTTCGATATCATGTCGCAGGCCTCCTGCAAAGCTCAGCTACACTTGCGAGCGCCAGTTGCTTCTTGAAGTTTCTACAATCAAACGTTTGTGTGATTCTTGCACACTTCTGCTAGCTGCTGCTCGACACTGCTTGGGCACAATCGTGCAGTGCTGACTAACACTCCGCCCACGAACACGGTGAGCCGCTTAGACAGGTGAGGACAAGCAAGTACCAGTAGCTTGTCAAAGCACGCGTGTTCGGTCTCTGTTGATTTGTGTCTATTTTCGTTTGTCGCAACACCGACAGACAGACACAGAGAGCGAGAGAGAGAGAGAGAGAAAGAGAGAGAGAGAGAGATAGACAGGAAGATAGACAGAGAGAAAGAGAGAGATAGACAGAGA